TGCTTGTGTAGACTCTGGCAATATAGAAATGTCAAGGATAAAAGTATGAATGAGGAGAAAGAGTTTGAAAACATTTCTGGTGGTAGATGCCAATTGTGTTTGGAAAAAATTCCAGACACTGCTACGCCATGTGGCCATTTGTTTTGCTGGTCTTGTTTGGCTGAATGGCTACGAGCCAGAAACCGATGTCCACTTTGCAGAGAAACTGTGTCCCCTACAAGGATCATTCCATTAATGAATTTGTAAAGGAGAAAAAAAAATCTTTGTATAAATAATAAGGCCTGTTTAACAAATCAGCAAAAATGTGTACATATGTAAATAATTTTATATTTTATTAATTAGGCAAAGATAAATTAAATAATTAAATTTTGTTACAAACTTTGTACTGCACAAGAAGCACAAAAAGCTTCTCAGTTTACATGATTAGGAAAAACAAGTATAACGTAATACAATACTTCAAAAAACATAATAAATAATTACACTTTTCCTCTGAATAATAGTTTTGATACCATTCTAAAAACGTTTACTAGCACTTAATAAATATCAATATCCAGTAATTACGTTGTATGTACAAAAATATTAAGTTTTATTGTATTTGCGTACGTACGGCACACTGCTCATGCACCAGAGTTTGTTAATTGCTTTTTTTTTGTTTTCTGAACTTTTCAATAAACAATATTGTACAACAATTTTTTTTGGTTAGTCTTTAATTTACATAAAATTTTTTTAGAAAAACTTCATGAATACAACTGATATTTTTTCTGATAGTTGTGTGCACACTAGCTCTGACCTACCCGAGGACCTACCCACGTGTAGAGGCTTGGCTTGAGCTGCTACGACGTAATGTCGAAAAAAAAACGTAGTCGCTCGCTGAGACCAGTGAAATTGGGAGTCAGACCCCTGGCGTGTTCATACTTTTTTTTTTTTTTCAAAATTTTTTTATAAACCCAAAATACTGCCTTTTTATTGCATTTTTGAAAGTTCTTCTATTTTGTTTATATAATTGAGTCATTGAATTTTTAAAAAATGTTTAATGTGTTCATAAAAAAATAAAGTACATGTATTCTTCAAATTTTTTTCAAATATTTTCAATGTATTTTTTCTTTATTTACACTTTATTCTTTTCAAATACCTCGCTCGTTTTCATCACGAAAGAACGGGAGTCCAGAATATGTTACCTCATCATTATATATTACGTAGATATGTATTCAGAAAATTTCCAATAAAATTTTCCATTATTTTTCCGTGACTCCCCACGTCACCTCACTATCCTTAAAGACCCTTCACTACCCCCCACTCCATATTAGGAACCTCTGCAGCAGCTTTAGCCCCCCGCCCGCAAAATTAGGAAAAATTCCATAGGTTCGTCCGTTATTTCAATTCGATCAAATTTTCTGTTATTTCTTATACGAAACTTCAAAGAGACAAAACACCTCTATTCCCGATTTCGAAAAAAAACAACATTAATGAAGTATTGTAACACTTTGTTAATTTATTATAAAAAATTTAATAATGTCTTCAAACATATGGATACATTTGCTCATTATTTTGTTTTTTCTTGAAAAATCCTTTCATTTTCAACCTATATCTTTTTTCGAGCCTTCTTTTGTAAACATAGCACTAAAAAAAAGCTATTCATTAAATAACGGTAATTATTTAATATATTTGCAATTTTCATCAGATAAGATTTTTAATAGAAAGCCTTGAAATTTTATAATTTTGAATCATTTTTGTTAATAACTTGCATGAAGTAAAACGTAAATAAATCAATTTGGCTAAAATCAATAGGAATTAACAATTTCATTTCAACAAAAAAACTGGTACGCGGAGCACACAGTATTACCAAAAAAGAGATAGTTCTCTCTATGCGAGTTCTCTATAAATTTCGCACATCGACACTTTTACAATTTTTTTGTCATAAGGTAAAAATAGGATTAGTTTGGACCTCTACTGTTTTTAGTCTTTTTTGTTGGTAATAAAAACACGCAATGTAGTGTAAAAAAAAAAAATAGTAAACTATAAAAAAAAATTTTATTTATCGTATGTAAAATATAAAAATCTTATGATGTTGTTAATACACTTTTCATTTGTTAAATTACATTTAAAATCAAAGTAATTAACCGAATAGCATTTGAAGCACAATTGATACACACTTACGTACGCATTACATATTTCCTTTTTTTTACCAAACTCCGAATACTTAATGAGATCTCTGTTGACCATCTCAATCATTTTTCTGCAATTCGATGTAATTGATCTTTGTAAAATCTCGCGAAACAATACACTTGATGTGTTTCATACAATTATACAACGAATAAAAGGGCTTCAGTCACTTGATAAACAACCTTTTCAGATAATAATAATAAGAAATATCAAAGATCATGAGTAATTTTTTTTTTTTTTTTCTATTAAAGTGTACCCATTACGAGGAAATGTACACTGCATAGGTATAGTTAATTAAATGAGATCTCAATGAGGTTTTTAATTAATGTATATCATAAAAACTCAATTTAGTAGGATACTTGTTCCAAAAACACAATGTTATTATTAGTTATTGTATAAATGGTAAAAAAAAAAAAAAAATACTTTGGGCAAAAACAAAAAATAAACAGTTACCGTTACTAGCAGAGTAATTTTTTTTTCCCAGTATGGGTATACATTATTACATATTTCCTTTATGCCAACACAGGTACACGTACAAGTCGAAAGCAGAAAAAGCCTATAGTTAGTAGAAAAAAGTTTGGAAAGTTTATAAAGTTAGGCTAGAGTCAAAATCATTTAAGTAAGTGACTTTTTACATTTTAGTAAGTAAACTGACGCTAAGTAATTAAAATTGTCACAATAATAAAAATATCAATTAAGTCCAGAAAAACTGAACAACTGTCATTATAAGTTAATACTAGTTATTGTTATTTTTTTTCGTCTCTAAGAGTAAGAAAATATACATCTAATTAAAAAACTGATAGTTTACAACATTTGTTGTTTCTTAATAATTACTATGAATTTTTCGAGTAATTAACTATAGTTTTTAGGAATTATTCATCAACTCCAGTACACAGGCGAGCCCAATATTCTGCTTTAGTTATAAAACGAAGGAAAAATACTTTTAAATGATTTGTCCTGACGTATCGGATCCACTTTTTTTAGCAACATCTTAATTACAGCAACAAAATGTAAACAATTGATTTTTGGGTACTAATTAATTTTTGTATTAATAAACAATATAAATAAATAAAATGATTTCACATAATGAGACCTCCTTTCACAATGAGATGAAATAAAAAAGAAAATGCATCTAGGTGATTAATCAATGGAAAATACCAAGTAGTTCTTTATGGTAAGATGAAAAAAAGTGGAAAAAATAACGAAACACCGAACCTGAGCGTGTGCTTGCTCCCAGTACTGCTATTTCACCTCTCAAATTCCAAGTCCCTTTGGCGCAGAGGATAGCGCGTTGGACTTCTAATCCAAAGGTCGTGGGTTCGATCCCCACAAGGGATGATTTTTTTTGCACGCCCTTTTCACGCAATTTAGTGCTTGATATTTTTTTACGGGTCCAAAATGCAGATTCGAACTGATATTACAGCGTCCAAATGGCGTAATATAACTTCAATTTGAAGGAATTTTCGTTCGATTTTGAAGTAAAAAAAATAATCAAAGTTTTATCCTTATCATTTAAATTTTAAACTATAATTACATATTTTGAACTCAAATTTTAGAAGGAATGATTTTTGAAAATCAATAATTTTTTTTTTAATAATAAATTAAAGACAACTGTTTTTTTTTTTATTCACTAAAATTACTCATTCGGATTATTAAAAACGAAGACATGAAAAATGATTTTTTTCTAAATTAAACTTTAAATGACAGTGCTGACATTTGACTATGACACAAAATTTCAAAGGAAAAAAACACGCATTTGCCATCTGATTAATCTGATGCCTAATTTTGCATATAATGTTTACAATCTCAGTTATACCATTGTTGCAAAATACGTACAGTATAGATTTTAAAATATTGATAATTGATCGATTATTACATAGTTAATTCTCCTGTAGGTATATGTATGTGGGCGCTGTCATCAGCTGTTATTTTGACGTGTGGGTGTAGTGTTGTGGTGCACTTTACGAAAGAGTCCGAGGTGCATAATTATATTCATAGCATTAAAATGTTTACAAGTATATTAAAGTATAGTGTACGTACGAACGACGCACGATGAAAGAAGAAATGTCGTGATTATTGTTATTCAAGACGCGCAAATTATGATGTTTGCAGGGCTAAATTGTCTCGTCAGTCGTCTGCTTTAGTATTGTTGTGATCAGCGTTTTTTTAAAAATATTAGTGACTATTGTGTTTGGTGGTTATAGAGTTGTGATTAAAGTGCAGCAACAATGGAGAAACAAAAATCAAAGCAGGTAAGATTAAATTTAAAAGAGGAGGTTATGTGATTCCTCAGTTACATTCTCATATCAAAACATTGAGATTATATACGATTATATATACATATACAAGATTTTATGCGTCATCTTACATCTTACTTTTTTGTTTTCATTCGATTGTTGTGTGCACAAAGAACGGTGTTTTACTGCGAGACGAATGATTGACTGACATGTTATTTATATTGTGGGGGTCCAATGCTTTGAATCGTCTTTTTTTCATGTGATTGCACTAAGACGATTAATTACTACTCTCTTTTTTCTTTACTTAGTTTTTTTATGTCTTGATAAAAATGTCAGTTGTCAATATGACTTTTATACATTTTTTCAAAGCAAAGAAATATCCGTGGGATAAAGAAATTATTTATTTCAGAAAAAGAAAAAAGATCGCTTAAGATCGATCACTTTGGACCGACAAATACCAGATGCACCAACTCTGGAGGAGTTTGAGTGTCTTCTGGGGGAATCGCCTACTAATTATCCAAAGGCTGAGGGTGTTGAAAACATGGAGAGCGAATTGCATTCCGCTGCCATTGACGACACTGAAATCTACGAAAAAGAAAATTCGAACATTATCGTCCACTCGGCTCAAATAGAAAATAATAGCTTGATAGAAAACGTGATAGAAATACATGCTGAGGAAAAAGTGTCTTCTGCTGATGAAGTTGATACGGTTTTTCCTGTTGTAATGGATCCATCAATACCGTCAGCCCCGGTGGCTGACGAATTGGAGCAGATCGTCGAAGACAGTAGATTGAGCATGGCTTCAACTCATCTTCTAGAAACTGCACCAAGTGCTCCAGTTTTTGATGAAAATCCCAGTGTCATTTCAGGTGGGTAGAGATAGTTATAATAATATTTAAAATTTGAGGAACAGTACAAAATTTACGCGACAAAATTTTTCCAGAGCCCGAAATAATGTCTCAAGTTTTGAAAAAAATAGAGGCAGAAAAAATATCCGCGGCCAGACAGTTAGAATTTACTCCGGAGAAAACCATAGCTGTAAACCACAAAGTAGTCAAACCTTTCAGCGAAGCTCAGCTGGCTGCATTGTATAGCAACCAAGAGCTCAACGTAGTTGAAGCATTTGTAAACGAATTTGTCGAGGTTCAGCTGAGGAGTCACGCCTTGAGGCAGCAGCACAAGCTCCACGAGCTTCTCATGAATTACCTTCGCGTACGGAATCATCTGATAATAAATTCGCACGAGCTGGAGAATCTGAAAAAAGCCTGCAAGGAGACGCAAAAGCAGCTGTGGTGTCTTGACAAGGCCACAATAACGGAAACCGGTGAGTGTCAGGACGGCAATCCCGTGAGTGCGACTCACGAGTATTCCATTGCTCAGTTCAACCAGCAGACACTTAGTGCTCTCTCGCGTAATCTCTCTGCTATAAAAGAATCATTGCACAATATTCATGCTCTCTACTGTTACGAAGCCGAGACTTTGCGCCTTCAAATTGAACACTATGTCCAGGTAAACATTTATTTTCTCGACTGCAAAGTTCTTTTAATTTTATCAAACGAATATTTTATTCAACTTTCAGCGCGTCTGTGTGTCTTGCAAAGAATTTGCAAACCTGACCGCTAATGCACCCGTTAGCCTTGTATCTATTAAGCCGGCCACCCACACTATGCCTCAGTTAGTCGAATTGCGAATGTGCATAACGATACTTTTCAATTTCCAAAGAAGGATTTTAAAGGATGGCAAATTCGTCGCAGACTCCAGGGAATGGTTGTCCAAACTCGTCGTGGTATTGTTGAGAGTCGCCAATTGGCAGGACCATTTATTTATACTCAGTCACATACTGAGGTGTCCTGGTGGCGTGTCGAATTGGGCCAGGGGTTACGTGCAGGTACCCGTTCCTCCGAGGACCAGCATCAAAGTACAGAGCACTTCGCCTCTAAACGACTCGTACTTGGATCACATCGTCGCTACTTTAGCCATTATATTACTACCCATAAAGGAAAGGGAAAAGTTTCTCGAGCAAGTGCAAATATCTCTGCAAGACACGGGTGACAGCCAGGACACGGTGTGGGTGATGCTAGACGAAGAGGGTGAAGATGAGGAGGATATTGCGAACATGGGCGTCAATTTGTCCGAGAGCGATCTCATATGCCTGTTGCATCAGATACCACTGGACAAGCTGTTTCAGCAGGTGTTGTACATCGAGCTTGACGACGACAACGACTACAGACAGGATCGCAAATCCATCACCGAGCACCATATGCTTAGAATTTTCGCATTTTCAACGGTTTTAGTGAGGCTGTTGAAGAAGGGCCTTAAAACTTACGATTCGCCGCGATATCGGCAATTAACCAAGAGACTAAGTGCACTTATAAGAGACGTCGTTCAGTACGCCAGTGACTTGTGGGAGTCTTTTAATAAGAGCCAAGTGTTGGACGAGTCGATGCTCATCAGGTTGCAAACTGAGTACGATTGCTTCTTCCTCAGAGCGACCATGTGCATCTTTTCGTCGCGTCGCTTGGGAGCTTGGCAGTACTTGGCAGCGATACCTTACCGATTAGTCTCGCTGCCTATTCTCTGGCAGATATTTTATATTTTGCACACTGATTCCGTGCCGACGAACGACATGGCCAATCCCGATGTCACGACAGGTGAGAATCGCTGATTTTCGTAAATCTAAAAAAAGCTAAAATTAATCACTTTTTTACGAGTAGAATGGGAAATTGAATTAAATTCTTCCCTTCCGCGGAAGCAATTTGAAGAAAAACTCAGCGATCTGCCTGGAGACGAATCTTACTTTTTGCTGACGACCTTTGCCAACATGGCTATGGCTAGAACTCACGAAGATTACGAATTCGTTCGAGCTGCGACTGTTGATTTGTTCCAGGTATAGCTTTTTTTTCCAAAAATTCAAAAATATGTTACAATATTCAAGTAAACGATGTAAAATACAAATTTTTTTTAGATTGGATTCTTGAGTTCAAAAACTCAAGAATCTTGTTCAAAGGACGCGAGGTCGCTTCTGTCGAATATAACTAGTAAATATCCCTCCCTCTTGTCGGACATAATTTTCAAACTCAAAGACAACTTTGTGTCTGTTGGCAAAGTAAGTTTAACTTTAAAAATTTTAATGCCTCATATAATGAACCGTGTACATTCCAGCTGAGCATATATCTTTTTACTGAACTAAACATACACCGATGGGTGCCCAAAGACGAAGATTTTCAAGTACTCTCGGACTGGCTTCACCAATTTCCTCTTTCTTCGACCGAAAGTCATTTGGCTCGACTGATAATTTCACACTTAAACTGGGGTTTCGATACGTAAGTATAGCATATGTGAATTTTTAAAAACAACCGATCTATCTAATTTCAACACGAAATCGACTAAAAACCATAATATCAGGTTTCAGGGTCTTTTCCTACCTCAAGAGCTACATCGGCGAGTAGCGTTGTTGATCGTCAAGCTAGTAATGAAATACATACCCGAGAGCACACCAGCTCAGTCAGCCTCACTCATAACCGAAGGAGTAAAACAGGTCTCGTCGATGGTTCGCCCCCAGAGCAATGAACACGCGTTCGCCACCTGGTCTTGGGACACGCTGTCTCGACTGAGGCTACATCAACTCGAGCAATCCGAGGCTACGAGCCAGTACGCGTTTGTCAGTCCTGCCCAAGCTTTCTCTCATGTGCCCGACCTCGACGCCGATCCCAAGTTCGAGATTTTGGCCAAGGGATTGCGGGATAAGCAGCCGATTGCCTGCTATGCCGCAGTTAGGATGACGTTGCACGGACACTCGGTGCCGATTATTTGTTCCAAGGGTTTTGAGTTGCTGCAAGTACTGCAGTCGTATTACAAGTCCGAGTACGTGATTATTGTTCTGAGTAATGTAGTGCCGCTGTTTTTGGACTGTCCGGAGTCGTTGTTACAAAACGAGAGGTTCATTGCGATTATCGCAGCTTTGGTACAGGCGGATAGGTCGTACATGAAGATGGCCAAGAACCTTATTTCCCCGGATTTTCCCGGGCCGATACTGGAGATCTTTTCTAACATGATTGAGTATCAGTTACAGAATTCGAGAAGGTTTGCGAATACTTTTGGGGAAAAACAAATTTTTTTTGGTACGAAGTGTTCGTAAACTAGATGTTTATTTACAGATTCCGGCTTCAAACGCCCGACGCATTGGTAAAATTGTGGCTCAACATATTCGTTTTGTTGCCGGATTGGAACAGAGATCAGAGCATCATGTTTTTAGTGGATACCCTGATGAGAGCTGCATTTTTCCATTTGGGAGCGAGAGCAGTCACGGACAAAATTTTCCAGAATCTTTTCTCGGTAAGGTTTCAACAGACTTTTCATAGTAATTTTGATGAAAAACTTCTTTATACATATTTTGAAATTATTATTTCATATCAGCTTGCCTCCTTTGGAAATAACGAGGTAAATGAAATTCTAGATAAAACATGCGTTGAGTTTTGCCCTCCAGCTTCACGCTACCGTTTTCTCTCACCAATCTTATAGTAACACTACCACTAATGATATTTCCTGTACACTTTATTAGAAAGTACTTACGTAATAATATCTGTTGTTCTCAAAGCACGCACACCTAAAAATTCTCGTAATGCTTGAGTTCTCACTAGGGAGTCTTTTTTGAAAATTGTAAGCACATTCGAACCTCTTTTCATTCTTCCGCAGAACATGATAGCAACGCGAAGCAATAGTAGTACAGGACTGAGTTCACTGCTTAGTTGGGCTACAGGCTCCTCGACGACGCAAAGTTTACTGTCGGGCTCGATTCAACAGGTCTGGGTGGCCTATCAGATCCTGAGAACCGAACAGCAGGAGCGCGAACTTGACACTGGACTCTGGCGAGAGCTGCTCTGTGAACTTTATCTTCAGACGTCCAAGACATCTGTCGATTCGGCTCTCAAGGTACGTTTGCGTATTTCGCGAATACAACGTAAGAGTTTGCGGGTTTAAGAGAATGACATTTTTACAGAAAGCCTGCGCGACCGTGAAAGTTCCAGTATTTAATTCGAATAGCTTAGCGATTTATAGATGGTCTCAGCAAGCCCTTGACACGCCAATGGACCATCCGTTGTTACCATTGCTGTGGCAAAACTTTTTTTCTCTCTACATGGCCCGAGTTCCCAGCCAAACAGGGTAAATATGATTTTACCTTTGCAGTTAGACGAGATAAAAACCATTTTTTTTTTTTTTATAGTACTGTGGACAAGGGAGGAGTTGGAATTAAATTTTTCGAGGGTATGATCAACTTGAGCTATTTGAAAAAATTGAAGAAACGATTAATAGATACCAAAGAGTATTTCGAGACCAAGAGAAAAAATTCAAACGACGGCCTGCAAGCGTCCGAAGAGCTTGCTGAAGAGAGATGCGTCTTCTTCGACGTCACTGCCAAGTTAATAAAATTTTTCAAAAATTGCGTTTTTTTTTCAAGACACAGTTTGTAACAACAATTTTTTTGTTCAGGTATTACGAGACCCTTATTTTGTGGCTGGAAGAACCTCGTCTTCAAGAAGCTGGAATTTATCTACCCACTTTTCCGCCAAACTACATGCCTTCAAAGTTAAACGTGATCATGCAAAACGACCAGACTCCGTGGCTCGAGTACGTCGACCAGTGGGCGGTACACTGTAGCCAACAGACTGCGCTGCAAAAGTGGCAGCGCAACTGTAAACGCGAGTCCAAAGGTTCCTCAAAGAAACTCAATTCAACGCCTATTACTCCTCTCGAGCCAACCGATCCACTGCAACGGATATTCCGTCGATTGAACAGCTACGAGCAACCTGTGTCTCCTCCGGCACTCACGCATCATGTGCCTCTTATAGAAGTTGCCAAAGAGTGCCTTTACAATCGCGAAGCTCTCATCGAGCTGTTCAGGCCCCACCTCAAAGCGATTTTAGATTATACGCAAACCTTCAATTTTATGGTGTCTGAACATACAGCGGTGGACTGCGCGTTTTTAGAGCTTGTGCCGACGCTTTACAAAATCGTCGAGAACCAGGTTACCCTACACGCACTCTGCGACCCCGCGCCTTACGGTCAGAGACGATCGCGTTCCGGGACTCCACCGATCGTCCACTGCGCTGGGGCTGCAGTTATCAGAATTAAAATCGCGGAAGCTCGGGTGAGCGATGGCATCGACCAGAGCATTAGCCAGAACCGAGCGCAGTACGAAAATTTACTAGTCAAAGCCAGTCAGCCACCACCTAGCAAAGTTATTCAGGGCTGTGTTTTTGCTGACCGTCTCATTACGTAAGTGTGCTGGGAAAATTGTTGAAAAACAGTGTAAATTAGCGATACATGAAAGTTATTTTATAGATTACTGGAGCACGAACTGAATGTGAATCGCACTACGGAAAACACGGCAGTTCTTCGCAAAGTTCAGGAAACCGGTGTCGTATTATTTTACTATCTCGTTAATGTTTTCTCCGAAGAAGCCGCGCTGTGTCCTCCAACGAAGCAGCTCATCACGACTTGCGTTGAAAAATTGGGACAGGTGGAGATCTTGCATTTTTTTTTTTTTTTTTTTTTTTTTTTTCATCGATAATATTGTGTTTAACGGAAAATATTGTTATTCAAAGCTTTTCATAAGTGGCGAAGAAAGTCAAGGTCCACCGCTGCTCGAAACAATATTGGAACGGCCTACCCTCGGTGGCTTGCTTGGACCTCATTTCACTCCAGTCGCCGGAGGCGCCACTACTTTTCTCCAAATGTACCAGAGGATCGTCGAATTATCCACTGGCTCCAACATCGATCTCTGTTTCGTCCTTCTAACTAAGGTAATTGAAAACCTCTTGAAAATTTTAAACAAATTTTTAATACCATGTCTCTAATAAAAAATCGTGCTCTTGCAGTTTGACGTCGCCACTTGGCTAAACTACCGAAGACCGCGACTGAGCGAACGCTCGACTTTCATCAATCTTGTAATTCGAGCGCTATGTAACATGGGCTTGAAGCCCGAGGACAATCGTTTAGTCCTGCACGAAGTTTTCCGCAACCACCTACGTTTGGTACTGCTACACGAGTTTCCCGAACACTATGGCGAAGTTCTGAGCGCCGTCATACGTGGTAGCGAACACCAAAGTCTTGCGATAGAAGTCTGGCGTGATTTGCTCGGTGCGTTGAGCGGTCGTCCGAAAAATACGCCGCCACCGCGGCAGGGTAAGGTACGCGAAGAGATTCGACGATACGCTACGGAGCAAAGACTGCTTTCGAAACAGGAGGTATTTATTTTTCTCGGTCGAAAAATTTCGTTTGTACGGATAAATAAAGAAATCTGATTGAATTGTTTTTAGATATACGATACAGCAGTTTTGTTGAAAAAGCACTTTGAAGCCGAACGATTACAATACGGCCTCTACGGTCTGTATCCCAAGTATCGAATCTACAACGAGCCTCTGACTATACTTCTAGGCATGATTGGTCATGCTCTAGTCGTCACAACTTTACAATCCGATCGGGGTACTTTGGCCGATCAATGTAAGTGTTTTGCGACAAACCACAAGTACTTACTTAGTAAACAAACTATTCAACGATTGTTTTAGTGTGCGAAAAAATTTGGCCAGTTCTGAGTGACATGTTCACGCCTTGGATAACTCCATACTGGACCAACAATCTTCGCGAGCCCACCGCAGCTTGGATCCAGCAACTCACAGACGACCGTTCCGTCCTTTTGCCCTGGATAATCACAGATGGCCCTTACGCCAATAGAATGACCTCCATGTTCATAGAATGTGTTCGCTTCATACTCGACACTATGCCGGCATCAAACAGGGTTCTCGGTTTCCTCTGGCAGTTCTATGTACAGAAGTACGCCCATCCATCTGTTAAAGATCACGTGCTGAACGTTGTGCACGGCAACTTTTTGTCCCTGCCTTGGATCAAGTTTAGCCCCAGTGTCATGGACGTTGAGTTCATGGTCAAAGTGATCGATCAGTACCTGCCTGACAGCCACCTGTTTCTCGGTAGCGTCTTTTGTAGCATGAACTGGTCACAGTGGATGCCCGATCAGTTGGCCATCCAGCCTCTCCCGGTGTCTGGACGAATACACATTTGCCTCCTTAATTTACTAGTCAAGTTATCTAACGAGCCCAACGTGCGGCAGAACGAACGTGCTCTCAGGCTGACTCAGGAAGCCGAAAAATTTGCTTGGCATCTGGTCGACGCGAACGCCTACGATCAGGTCATCAACTGGCACGTTATGAGCTGCGATCCTCGAGTTATCTTGACCCTCAATTCAGATCAGGTGCACTCTCTAGATCTGGCCATCCATAAGTAAGTTTTTCCCTATGGGTGCTTCTTTGTTTTTAAAGCTCGAATATCACAATTAAAAAAATACTCTTGCAGTTTGTTAAAGATAGTGGCAGCTTACGACCCTACGGTAGTTAACTTTCATCCGACGACGTTGAAGAAGCGCCAAATGTACGTAAGATCGTGTGTCAAATTGTTAGTAAACTGCACAACGCGTCACAAGTCCATAGTCTCGACAAATATCAAGGCCTTCACCAGTGCATTATCACGAATGCTAGATGACATGGAGGCAATTATTATGAACAGTGAGTTTCCGTCTTGGTAATTTTGTTCATCGAATTTATACTTTTGTAAAATAAAAAAAATATTCGCTTATAGCTGTATCGGAGCCGCTGCAGGTAGCAGAGGCTGGACTACTGGTGACAGAACTTTTGCACTCGGTAAACCAAAGTAACGTTCTTGTGGAGCAATTGCGTACGAGCTGGGCAGACTGGCTGCTTCAGCGAACGGCTTCTAGTCCTATCCTCTTGGGTATCTTACGCGTAATTGGAATAGCTGTGGCCTCGCCCTCGACTCTCGGCGAGATCATGGAAGCTGCCCTAGACGCCTATTTCAAGTACAATGGTATGTCATGAGCTTGAAACAAATGTTTTTCGAAGCACTTGCTCCTGGATCAACAATTTTTTAATTTTTTTATTTATAGTGGTCGACGAAGTTCGACCAATGTGGGCAGCAGTTTTAACAATCATACAGCCAGTGGTACCTCGTCAGCCACCGGTTGAAAGTGTACTAGTGGCCGAAGGTCGAATCCTCTCGCTTTACGCTATCTTCCTCAAACGGTTGCCTTCGTGTCGTGATATCAGAGAAGAGGGTATGCTTCTTACCAATCTCATCGATTGGATTACTGCCATTAAGCCTACGTAAGTTGATGCTCGATTTTATCAATTTCGATTGATGGTTTATAAATTTAATGCTTCTAAATTTAATTTGCTTTTTCAGGGAAATAATAGAGGAAAAGTTGCCGTTGCTGTGGGCAAAGGCCCTTGAATTAATTTACCGTCAATGCCGGTACAACGAGAATAAAGTGATAGCAGCCCGCTCGCTTAAAGGCCTAGCTAGAGCTCTTCTCACTGTAGCTGACGATGCCAACCAAGGTTGGAATATTCTGGGTGCAATAGGCCTCAGGAAGGGTTCTCAGCTTTCATCTAGGTATTCTAATATCATATATTTTTTTGAACCATAGAATTGGAGTTACTTAACTAATAACTATATTAACGTGTAGGTGCAAGTTCCTGAGTCGAGCACTGGCAGTTTACTGTCTAGCACAGCTGCCCGACAGTCATCAGTCGCCATCCGAGCAAACACAATCCAATCAAGTTGTCCGCTACACAGAGCACTCGCCAGGAGTTGCTACGCTACGTTCCCCAAGCCTCGACTTGGACTCAAACCAGAATTCACCTTCCCTAGATGTGAGGCCTAGTACCGAGGCTATCCGAGCAATGCAGAGTCTCGAGGCTCTTCTGACAAATAAGCAGTACGCCGAGCTTAAGCACGACATCGAGCAATCTATCCAGATAATTCGTGATTCGAAAAACTCGATGCACAATGCTCTGGACAACTGTGGGGTTTTAGTGGCCGAATTGTACAGTCAGAGGTATCTTCACGTACTGACAGAGTGAGATTGGCTGTCCGGGGATGGGCCCGACGAATGGTGTTCCAATATGAGCTTTCACTTTGATCACTTTGCCGGCTGAGGGGAGCTCGTGGCGAGCTCTCCGCTTGTGCGCGTTAGTTGCCGCTGTTAAAGTACCAAGAATTTTTTGTCGAGTGCCTAATTGTGCAGTATTGTTGGATTTTTTTTTTTTTTTTTTTTTTTTTTTCTATTCAGAAAATATTTACGAGTGTTGAATTTTTGATAATTAGACATATTTTGAATGAGTTGTAATATCGTTGCTGATATTTTGGGGATAAAAGCTGTACGTGAAAATATATGATCCTGTTACAGTTGAATAAATGTTACAAATTATTGACGTTAAGATGAGATGGACCATGTATTTTGTGATAAAAGATCTTAAATTCTTGGGACTCGTTAGACAAAGTGATTTATTTTCGCATAAAAATAGAGGCCCATAATGTATTTCGATTTTCTCTTGATCTAGTCACAAGTGACTCGCTACTCGCTGGATAAGATATACAACGGTTATTTCGATTACGACAATGACAACCTTTAGAGTAAGATTACTTTTTTTTATTACAACGTTGCTGAAAAATAATTTTTGGATTGCGTTTTTTAAAATGTGTATGTACTGTAGGCTGCGTAAACTGCCGGTGATAAAAATACCACAAAATTATGTAAAGTGTTTTGTTGACTTTTTAATTTAATCAAAATGATTTTTAGATAATTTACAATTTTATTTACTTTACTAATATCTATGTCTTAACATAGTATCGTAGTGCAAAATTATTTTATTATGCTTCAATTCTGAAATTGCTATCAATATTTGAAAAAATCCGTAGGCTGTGTTAAAAATTACACTTTATTGTATTTAGAAAAATAGCATGTGTAGATACCACGCGTTTTTTTTCTGTATTAACGACACCAATTTAAAAAATAAAACTTTTAAAACATTTTTGTAACTTATAAATTTATTCATTATTTGTAGATATATAAATATTTTTACAATGTGTGTTAAAAATCTGCAGACGCAATATATATTTGTTCTAATGTTTGTTTTCTTTGAAAAATATCGTCAATAAATTACGACTTAGGCCGCGGGCACATGGAGTTACGCTCTCCATTTGCCCGCGGCCTAATGGAGTAAAAATTAAAATTTCTCTAGTATGATTCGAAAAAATTTTTTTAAAATAACACGATTGTCGTGATAGTCAAACAAATATCTATAATGATGTTTGTTTTTCAACAGTCTTACAAGCTACTAGTCGCACTAACAGTGGCACTATTCTTGGCAGCATTTTTACAATTGTTTATGATTTTACCAATCTCCTCTCCACTCATATCTACCATTTCACACTGAAATTCATCAGCAAAGGCCCTTTTAAGCACCGGGATCACATCCTCTGTCCGGACATCGACAGACAGTTCCTTGCTGAGACTCGTCACTCCTTTGTCTTCAATGCCACAAGGAACGATGTGCTCAAACCAGCTAAGATCCGTATTACAGTTTAGAGCCAACCCGTGACTCGTTATATATCTACTCGCATGAATACCAATAGCGCAGATCTTTCTATCTTCGATCCAGACTCCCGTGTCGGGTGACGTCTTTCCACGTAATCCGAACTCCGCGCAAAGCCTAATTATCATTTTCTCAATCTGTGACACGTAGCAGCGCACGTTGGATTCGAATTTTTTAAGATTTATCACCGGGTATGCTACCAGCTGACCAGGGCCGTGGAAAGTTATAAGACCACCGCGATTTGTACGGTAAAAGTCTGCATTGAGTGATCGCAGGCGAGCCTCGTCCTTTTCGGTATACCCTTTATTCCTAATACCTACGGTATAGACTGGATTGTGTTCCAAGAGCACGAGGCTGTTGGGAGTATCGCACAGATCTTTATTGTGGTGTCGATCTATTAGACACTGCTGCAATCGAAGACCGCCACCATAACTCATGCGGCCTGCCCAGAATACTTTAACTAGTTGTTTCATTTTTTATTTTTATTTCATTCTCAGCTTTTTTTTCTGCCTCTTTAGCTGAGATTTCAGCTTTTCTCTGCTCTATTGTTAAATGCAGTAGTAATGAAACCTGAAAAACATAAATAAATCATGTTACAACTATTTAATTCGCGCGAAATCTAATTGAAAAAAAAAAGTATAATTGAATTAATATTACGTAGGCGTCAGTGGCAGCATAAAGTTTTTGAGAGTTACTTAAAGGATGGATGTGCCATTTGCTTTTTCTTACAGCTGGGTCCTTAGAAATTTTTTTCTTCAACTGCAATAATACAGAAAATAATCAAATCGTTTTTATTTTTTTTTATTTTGAACAGGAGATTAATGAGTAAATACCAAATAAGCAGTCAATCTCTCCAAGCTCCATCGACAGGATCGATTCAGGACTGAATTAACATGTGGCCCACAGTCTAAGCAATTGTTATCAACAACTTTTTGTCCTGGAAATTCTTTGAAGTCTCTTGTCAACTTCCACACATCACTAAAAGTTTATTAGGCATTAATAAGTGTGGGCTTGAATGTATATTTAGAAAAAAAGGGTACAGTACTTTTTAATGTTGACCCCGACAAGTTTTACTTTTGAATGGCTCAAAAATTCAATAAAACTAGAAGGTAATTTTTTTATGTTATACAAGTGCAAAAGGTGACACTCTTTTTCGGATAAACAAATTTGAGCCAGAGCAGTCTTTCCACTTCCAGTTTGAAAACTAAACGGCCACTCCAAGTCAAAACCTACTGGTATCACTGTCTCGTTACTTTGTTTTACATCTGTTCTGTAAAATAGAAATACGAAAAATAATTTTATTTAATACTTATTTACGATAGAGATTAAAAGAAGACCCGTTTTGAGCAAACTTACAGTAACTTGTCGCATAGACTAGCAATATCATAAAAATCGTGAATATAATTTATGCGCCCCTTGAAGAGGATAGCAGGTAGTGATTTGATGTCTGGCTCTATTTCAGTTTTTACTAGCTAATTAAAACAACACAATAAGACATTCTATTAGATGATTCAAAAGATAAATCTTTGTACTCAAAAATTATACCTTTTCCTTTTCATTTGGTGGAAGATTTCTTGCTGAACGTCTCAAGTCTTTGACTTGATTTTCACTACTCTTGTCTTTTTTTAGCCAATTCTACATAATTTACATTTATGTTAAATTATTTACCTAAAATTTAATACAACAAGTTACTGATTGTCTTTACCTTGACTTTCTTGGTAGTAACACTATTCTTTAAGCTCAAGTTCTTCACACCATCAATCACATTAGACTGCTTTAAAATGTTATCATCAAGTGGCTCCAAGCAAACTCTTGGTATCAGCTTGAGCAGTTTGGCACTGACTTCATCGGTTTCTTTTTCTTCCACTACCAGATTCTGCTAGCAACGAATAATTAATGAGCTTACATACGCCAAAAATTCAAAGTAAACACACGCGATGTGTAAGAAATTGCAACAGTTTTTGTTCAATAAGATAAGCTTGTAAAGCCCATCAATCACAAAAAAAAACAGACAAAAACACTTACTTTCGATGTACTTACAAATGAAAAAAGTTGACATAAATTTTCGGATTTCTAATTCGTAAATGAAAAGAGGAGAGAAAAATTCACGTAATTGCTTCTAGAGATATATATTATGATTACTCCTAACCTCGGTTTTCTTGAGCCAAGCAGTTATCGGTCTCGACCTCTTTGCATTGGCTGCCGACGCTTTTGCCTTTGACATGTTTTTTGTACTCTTCTTTGAATCAAAATACACCAGCGTTGTAAACACTCCGACAAACTTTTTTTTTTTTTAACACAAATTAACCGAGCAGGTTTAAATGTTGTTTCGTTTTGTGCTCCGATTTTGTAGAACTTTTCCCGCCAAAAATACGAGCAGAAAGTGACATCTATCCATATGTATATACGCGCGTTTTTTGAGAGGAAATTTTCTCCTATCGAAAAGCAAATCAAATCTTAATTCGTTAAAAGAAAAATGTCTGCATGGGCGATTAGAAACGCGCGCGAGGACATTGGATGAAATCGAGTGGAAAACTCGTTTTTCACGCTCGCGACTGTTATTAATTTCGACGTCTCTCCTAACGCCCACACATATACATTCTATCACGAAGACATTTTCTATAAAAAAAAAATAAAATAAAGTGCCAAATGCGAATTGAAAATCCAAACTTTCATTCGACGATTTTCAACGAACACCAATAGTTTGAAAAACGCGACGGCGTGAGTGATGCGTTTATGCATATAACACGCAATTGCACTAATTAACAAACCAAATCCCCGTGCGCATAATTACACGTACAGAGCGCTTTCCCGAAAATAAAAGAAAAATACACCTCTCCTCCTCCTCCTCCCACATAGAGAGAGAAAAAAAAAAGCCCATCTCGATGAGGGGCGCAACCGGAGTGCGAAAATAAGAGCCGAAAAAAACCGTATATAGGTTTCTAATTCACGGCGAAATTTCTCCAAACACCCCGCGCACAATGGTACCACTAGTCCCCCCCCACCCCCCTTGAGAGCAGAGAGCACACACAAAAAAAAAACGCGTATTCTTCCAAGAGGGTGTTGTGTGGTTGTATATATAGCGGCCAAGGTTAACATCAGACACGATGAATGGCTTTTCCTACATGCACGTACTTAGAGTCGAAGGAAAGTGATTATATACGTGTACACGCGGCGGCAAGGAGTGATTCGGCCGGCAGATAAGGGGGAGAGAGAGGCCCACTTTTCGCACGCGATTTACACTTTCGCGCCTAAGCGAAAGTGTCTATCTCTCCTCTATATGTATAAATACTTATATACTAGCGCACATCAGCGTGTGTGATGTATGGTGTGTGTGCACTGCGTGTGTATAAGTATAGTAGGGGCTAGGGGCGCAGTGTCCTTTAGAATTTCATAATTTTGCAAAAAGACGTAATACTGCACAGGCGCGCCTCCTCCCCTGCGAGAAAGTGCGTCGAGAAGCCGGATAATCGATTCGTGTACTCTTTTCCTTTCCCTTTTCTCGCGATCCGTGGTAGTTATACATGTATATCTTTCTTTTTTTTTTTTTTTTTTCGTCGTCTAGTCGCAGGTGTGTGTGCACATACGGACTTTCTCGGTTATAAATCGATTTTGTCGTGTGGGGAGGGACGTAAAATAAATTAGGCGCGATTTTCTTTTCGCGCGCCTCCGAAGAAATTGGAAATGAGAGGCGAGAGAGGGAGCTTTTTTTACGATTCGCGTGGGATGGAAGCTCCGCGAGGAGAAAACTTGTGCAGGCCACTTATTTATTTATTGGTACTCTCGACCGCGGGAGTAAAGCCCACCCCCCCCCACCCACCCTTTTACAGTACTTGTGCTTTTGGAGATGTACTCTCCATACGTATGTCCTGTGCACGCGTTTATGTTTTCCAACGCGATTGATAATTTTGTTCTAAATATGTTAACATATCATTTTTCAATACCATATTCTATATTTTTTTGATCTTTGGGTAATAGTTTGTAGTGTGTGATATTTATACAAAATGAGGTGTTTGAATACAAGTACCACATCACAAATGAACATTTTGGGTAATTTACTGAGTTACCCAAATGAAAGGTCAAAATCCTATAAATTTATGTGTATTTTCTTACTTGAAGTAATATTAATAACCACACAAAATCAGTGTATGATAATAGTTAGCACAGGGCTAAAATACACGAGATTAGAGTATTTTTAACAAAAACTTTGGGTCAAATGTAACTCGCACAAACACCTGTATAGCATATGTTCAATTTCAAACAGAATTCATCTATTTTTAAATTTAACGGATTTCGAACAATGTATATAATTGATCTGAAATCTATGGATTCCCTTTTTTTTATTTTTCTCTTATGGAAGTGGACAAAGATTAAATTTTCTTTTTACAGGTGTATATTATATAGACTGTATGAATTATTCATGTGGCAGCAGGTTGACGAAACTTTTTTTTTTTTTTTTGACAATAGATCCAACAACAACAGTAATGATAATCGAGAGCGTGTGCAGCACTTCCACCGGTTACGAAGATTGCATGAAAGTAGATTGTTCATGTATGACCACAGAGTATAATAGTACATTTATCGAAAACGTATTAACAGTGCAAGATCGAAGGTTGTACATGTATATAATGAAGTGTGGTAGGCGGTGAGAAACGAAACGATCGGGCCCCGGGTAATGGAGCACGACCTCGATACACTCGAGAGCTCATCATCGACTTCTTTGATGATTGCAGCATCACCGGGTTTATTTGTCTCGGCGGGCGTATACATGTATACCCATTGCATCGGGTGAAAATAATAATACAATAAAACCGTATAACACACCATTAACCGGTCATGGGAGAGAGAGGACGAGGCGTCTCGTCGAATTAACCTGTTTTTCTCTCTCCTCCTTTTCAAAGCGACAACCCACTTTTTTTTTTTTTTTTTTTTTTTTTTTTTTTTTTGTAGACCCAAAAATTCGTCGTGACTCAATTTCCCCTTGAACTTATACAGCGCACGTACGTATACATACACCCGAGAATTAACATTAAAAGCGCGCGCTCGAGGAAAACATCTCAAGTTTCGCGGTGTGCACGTGCATGCAGTTACCGTTGACCCCTGCATGCATTTTCTACTTTCGAACCCGTGTGTAAGTAACACACATAGCAAAGTGACGAGGCACCAGAGCGTCCCAAAGTTCGAACACAACAAAAAACGTCCTTTCTTTTTATTAAAAAAAAAAAAAAAAATGCCTAAATTATATACTTTTTCCGTAAGGGATGGTGTATAGTGGACGTATGTGCGCGCCCATACCGAAGTATAGATACATACACTTAGAAAGTGTCCTCGGTCCTCCTCCCCGAGACAAAAGTAAAAGTTCTTCAACCATAAGCTGCGGTACATACGTCACGTGCCGATATCGAGGAGGCGTCGATTTATCATTCGAAACAAATAGAGAAAGGCTGCTCCTTTTTTTAATTTATCATCACCCGCAGCACACACGCGTCGTCATTAACACTCCCATAGAGCTTGTTGAAAAATGATGCTACATTTTTTTCTTCTCTCCCGTAGGCACAAAAAAAAAAAAAAAAAAAAAAAAAAAAAAACCCGGGCAGCGGGGAACGGCGGCTCGTAATCTACTTGCCTTTTTTTTTTTTTTTTTATTTCAGCGCGCAAGAACAAGCGACAACGACCGGTAATTATACCATCAGGCGCGTCAGGCGCTCACCTTTTTTTTCTTCACGCAATCATCATAGTAATATATAGATTCAAGTTCAAGACCTGCACGTTCGAGCGAATATAATAATTATACTAGCTGCCGGTCAGCCGCCGCAGTGCACACACTCTCGCGCGGGGATTTTCTCCCGATATTTTTCCTTTTTCCCTCCCAGTATTTTCCTCATCGCCCGCGAGACATGTAAAAACGTTTTGGCCCAACAACAGCTAGAAACAACAACACACAGTGAAAGTACACTATCGTGTACGTATTGTATAGTAAACAGCCAGAAGTACTTGGGGGAAATGTTTTTTTTTTTTTTTTTTTTTTTTTTCCTCGTCGAGAGAGCCGTTGTTGTTGTGATAAATCTCCTTTGTGGGTGAATTCGCGCGAGAACGGATTTCGGGTATTGTACAACAGTGTACATATATACTCTACAAACGGCCCCGATTTTGTGTATCCCTACGGATTACCGATCATTTCGCGTTGATAATGCAAGAATATATTTTTTACACGCCCACGGAACAATCGATTTCGGCCACGAAGGAATGATATCGATATCTGGACTCGGGTTGCTTTTATCCCCCCTCCAAGCTCGACTGGTTACGAGGTATGCACAATTTTAACGTGAAAGTTTAGATCGCAAGGGATACACGTATATAGCTCCGTGTACTTTCTTATCAATGCAAAAACATTCTTTTTTTTCGTTACGGTGTACCTCCCGTCGCTCGACGATCGGCCCGAAAAAAATCGGCGAACGACCTCGACCGTCACCCCAAAAAATCCCGCTATCGTTCAATCGCACGCAAACTTTTACAATCAATTGCGCGCACACGTTCGAAACAATTCACAGCATCTCGCATTATATACATGTATACGTATATAGAGTTCGTTGAGGAGGGATCGCTGAAAATTAGAAAGTGAATGAGCCTCCTTCTCCGCGACGACTTATTTCCTCCCCGGTATCACTTTCCTTCGGTGTGTAAGTATACCCCCCCATGTGTCGAAGGAGCTATAGGCTGCCGCGCCGCTAGCCACGGCCGCCCCGTCGATGCTATAATGTGCAGTTCACTCGGTGTCGCGCGCTGACTTGCGGTGCTGCTGGACCCCTTTGGGTCTACGGGCGTTTCACCGCTATTTTGGGGTGTGTGTGTGTGTGTTTTTTTTTTTTTTTTTTTTACCATGTTTGCATTAGTGTAGATTCGACAGAAAAGTGATAGTTGGCAAAATCAGGAAAATGGAATAACAGTCGATAAGGCTTTGCACGCGTGTGAACGTTATAGTTGAAGTAAACAATTTTTTTTTTTTCTTTTTTCTTTTTTTTTCTTTTTCAAATCTAGGACAAGAGGAGCGAAGAAAAAAAAAGTACAGTTGATTTAAAGACGCGAGAATGCGAAAGGCTAGTAATTGCCAAAACCGGTCGAAAATAACGGAAGTGCTTGGATTACGAATTCGTGGATTGTTGTGCGGAAAGCGCGCCGACGACGGGCAATGACGCCGAGGCCCGGTGGACGAGCAGCCGGTTGACGGATCGAAGAAAAGCCACCTTCCGACAAACCCTTCTTCTTCTTCTTCTTCTTCTTTTCTTTTTCATTTTTCGTCGTTTGTGTGATTATTTCGGCAGAGAGGGAGAAACGATGAATCTGCAATTCAAGGTCTGCGCGATCATATTTTTCGCGCTCGTCCAAAGGAGCCTCTCGATGATGAAGGCGATGAAAGACGACCACACCAGTAAGTATGTCGAGCCTACGGAAATTAATAACAAAAACAACTCGAAATCATCAACCCTCGGCCTCCCCCCTTCCGAGAGTTTATTAAGCAAAGAAAACGACGGGGGTGAGGTCGCGGGATGAGAGAAAGAGAGAATAAAAAAAAAAGAAACACAAAGTGTCACATAATCAGTGCTAAGACGATGATGATGACGCGAGGTAAGAGAGAGAGAGAAAGAAAAAAACAAAATGTGTGTGTGCGCTGTTGAACGGCAGAATGTGGATGTCCAGCAGTCTGGCAGCGGCAACCCCGTCACCACCACCACGGCAACAACAACCGGGACGACGTCGAGGAGACCGGGGCGACCCGAGGACGCATATTCAACGGCAAGCCGAGCAGACGGGGCTCCTGGCCGTGGCAGGTTTCTCTTCAGCTGCTCCATCCGAAGCTCGGGTTCATCGGCCACTGGTGCGGTGGGGTGCTCATCGATCAGAGCTGGGTTCTCACGGCTGGGCACTGCATTCACAAGTAATTACCTTTAGTATAATATCGAGTGTGATAAAATAAATGTTGTTTCGACGCTGGGAAAATTGTCTTTTTTTTTTTTTTTTTTTTTTTTCACAGCGACCTGTTCAATCTACCGATCGGCGCTTTGTGGACGGCTGTGGTGGGCGAATGGGAACTGGACTCGGGAGGTCGTGGGTCGGCTCGACTACCCGTCGAGAGGGTCATTCTTCACGAGCGCTTTGAAAATTACGTTCATGACATTGGTGAGTAATCATCGACAATTTTTTTTTTCGATTCTCTTTCGTTTATTTAATTATAAAAAAAGAAGAACAAATGCGCGATATACATTCGCTGAATCAAATATTATCGTACCTAGTCGGGTTTGTACGAGAAAAACGAATAAAAATGGTCAAAACTTGTAAAAAAAAAAAAAAAATAAACAACGCTGCAGCGTTCAATCTACTAATATTATGTTCTTTGGATTCGTGATTGAGTTTTGACGCATACAATCTTAGTGTGTCGTAATCCAAGACTACACATTTTATGTGTAAGATGTTTCTTCAACTTAAAGTAATTAATGTACGTTATTTACATTTTGTTGATATATAATAAAACTGTATAAACGAGATTAAGTACTTTTCGATACGTTGGGTGAGAAGTCTCACAAAAGGCTTTTCTTAATTTCACTTCCAAGACACAAGGAAAGCAGGGGCGAAGTCGACTGGCCGATAAGCCGGTACTTATCGTGCGTACTCACGGCATCTCCTAGCTTGAAATCATCCGGGAAACCTTGAGATCGAGCGCACTCGCGTACGCTTACAACTCGAGGTTGCTGGGGATGTATCACCGGGCCCTTTTGAAAAAATAAACATTGATGCTTAACTCATCCCGCGTTTTAACATGAAGATTATAATTACACTTACCTCCGTGCCCAAAGGTTCAGGGTTTGTGATGTTTCCGAAGTAACCGTCCCATTGCAATCTACTGTATAGACCGGCCCATTGATTATGCCGCTTGGCAGAGTGCACAAGATGCCACGGTATTATGGTGTCCTCTTGTCTGTAGTTTAAATCACAGACACTTCCGTTTGCGCAACTACACACACCTCTCATGTCGCCGGCAGAGTTCTTACCGGCGTCTGTATCGTCGTGCGTGTAAATACTGAAAAAAGTAAAAAAAAAAAAAAAAAAGATGAGTTGGAACAAAAAAGACGGTATTTCTTATTATAAGAATGTGAACGTACAGTTTTTTCGTATGAGATCCATCGATTAGCTTCATGTCGGAGTTGGGCAAATTTCGCCAGTCAGATCCAGGTGATAGGGGCAACAGTAAAAATCTGACATGTACTAAAGCACTGAATTTTTTGCACTCGTGATCAAACATATCGTTTTCTGACACACCAAGCCGCATCTGTACAGATAAAAATTGCCATTCAATTTTACGTATCTTTTTTTTTTTTTTTCGAGCCAAAATTAAAACAGAACCTTACCAATTTTTGATAGTGAGTTAAAAGTTTGCCGTAATAACCTAAATCGTTTTTATACTGTCCATAAGCTATGAGTGGCAAGTCTGATATGGCATCGTGCACATTAACAGAGCGGAATGGCGCGGAATTATTCCATTCGTCAATGGGACAATACTGAAAGACACGTAATTAAATTAGTGTGAATATTGAATTTTGCACATCAATGTTACATACCTTTTTGTCATCAACAATGACATGAAATTGACACATTGACTTGGGAAAAACGTGCAAGTTTTTCGGATAGCTTGGTAACTTGTACCCTGGTGCAGCTCCTAAGATCACTGATCTAAAATAATAAACAAGGTAAAAGGTACAATACGTTAATTTATCTATCTTATTAAAATAGGCCAAACCTTTTTCGATTTTGAGGAACTCCGAAATTCCCAACTTGCATAACATTAAAAGTCACTTGGTAACCAATCGTTACAAAACAACTTAAAGTTAACTTTAAAAAGTCATTATGTTTCACAAGATTCTCGTCCGCGTCCATGGCAAATAAGACTGGTCGGTAATATTCGCAATACTCTATGAATGTTGCGACGTCTGAATTTTTAAAGTTTTCTAATGACTTGTAATTTTTGCCCGGAATAGTCGCGCATAAAAATTCCACTTCTTCCGTTGGAATCTTTGGCTTGTCAAGCTCTTCTTCAACCTGGGAGAAAAAAATTGTACTTAAATATAACTGTAATTTAATGGTACTAGGAACATTAAAGTATATAGACGAACATTTTTCACTGCCTCCAAAAACGACTTGACATTTGTATTGAAGACTTCAGTCTTTGTCATATTTAATTGAAACACAGAGAGTGCAGCTTTATCAGGTTCAATAGCCCATTTAATGCTTGCCAAACCAGATCTTTGAAATCCCATTGCAAGGCCTGTAATTTACGTGTTATTATCAATTTGCTAATACCTGTAAAAGTGGTCACTTTACCTCCACACCCAGCAAATATGTTCAGCGTTTTCAGTTTTCTTGTGACGGGATGCTCTTTAGGAATGTCACGAATCACAATTGACCCCTTGTATCTTTCCTTATTAACGTCGACAAATGTTTCGTCCTGGTATTCTTTTGAAAAATAAAAGCGATCAGGACCTCCAGCTGTCCATTGGTCGACACTAGTTTTAATAGAATTTTTGTGGACTACGTAACATTTGCCAATAACATGTGTGAACTCCATCTCGGTCTCTAAAAAATGCAAATTAATCAATTATCAAATTTATAAACTTTATGATTATACAATGAATTGTAATACCTTCTTCACTCCAAAAAAGTTGATTCAAATTACTCTTTTTGATTAAATTTTTACCGTCATGAGTGTTTTCTGGTCTATAAAACTTTTTAACTCTCATAAATATTTTATCATCCATAGAAAACAGTTCGGTAATAAACCCTATATCCAAAATTGGTAGAATTTCATGTTGCAACTCCTTCACTGGAATCTTTTTTATTCTGTACGACTCTGTATACTTCTTGTCATCAATCGTTTCATTCTTTACACTACCGACGTATGCTATGATCCAAAACAAATGGCATTTGACTAATTAAAAAATTTTTCAACAAAAGTACAAATATACAAACCATTATTATTAGACATCGGAAATTTAAAATATAATTTTCTGGGTTTGATGTACACCGTACTTCCCACGAAATACTCTTCATTTTTGTAATACACTTTTTCGTACATTATTTTATTGTCTTTTTCATCCAACTTAGTTAGGACACGAGGTTTCTTTTGTGCATCAGCGTGATCTACGTCTACTTGAATTTTACAAAACTTGTACGGTGTCTGTGACTTTTCTCTCAGTGTTTCGTCCTCGACTGGCAAATCGTAGAACTTTCCTGTCAACGGTTCAAACGATTTCTCACAAAAATAAATATCCTCATTAAATTCGCGGGCAGTGACTGAAAATTAAAATTTATCGTTATGATTTGTTTAACCAAACAGTTAACTGTAAAACAATGTATGTTATACTTGATTGGTCCCAAAATACAGGCTTTTTTCGCTCCACGACCTTTACTTTTTTTGAAATACTGGCAAGGGGAATGTTACTGCACAATGCTATATTAAACACTTCCTTGGGATTTGAAAACTCTCCCAAGACAGTATCTTTACCCCACCAGTAGAAGTTTGCGTGGCACATCGCTTCTCCGGAATTATTTTCATATATGTAATGAACTTTCATTATTTGAGGCGGTACTGAAGTTAAACTTGAGCGCAAACAAACAAAATCACCAGATTTAATGTGGAAACCGGACACTTTTGCAGATTCATAGTAAGAATCGCCATTATCAAATGCAATAGGTGGACCTAGCAACGCCACGTCTTTTTTATATTCTTTGATGCCCGTTATTTTGTTGTTGTATGCTATAGTACTGAAGGGTATATCTTTTGTGGGAATGAATTTGCTTAGCCATTCGTCTTCTATATTTGCGTCTTGTATTTCACTCCAAGCACAGCGTTTTCGCCAGCAATTTTTTTTAAGCGTACAACCGAGGCACTCACCGCATCCAGGCCTTCGGCAATTGACGCAACACTCGCACTTGAGTGTATTTTTACTCGCTACTTGTGGAATTTTTGTTTGATTGCAGTGGAAAATGACTTCAATGAGATTACGATGATCCAAGACTAGACTAAGATTAGAATTGATTTCATCAGAATTGTACAACCGCTTCTTCCTTTTATTTACTCTGGTTTCTCTCCCAATTCTCTGAAAATATGATTTTCAATAATCGACAAAACTTAATTTTATTTATTTACAATCAAGCTCAATTTACCGTTGATTGGGATTTCTCTAAATAATTATATCTGAAATCAATGCCGGCAAGATCCATCATCCGGCGTATACAAGGTGACACGACAAGCAGTTGTTCTGCAGGATTCGACAATTCGTCAAAAGACATTAACTGCATACATATGAACGGCGCAAGGCGCATCAAATCGTCTTCTGTAAACACTTCTGGTTTGTTTCCGGGCATTGGTATTGTCTACAAAAGTTAAAACGATTATAGAGCATAATCTTCACGTTTAATGTAGAAAAAGACAAGGACTTACTTGAAGTTTGCGCAATAAATCTTCGTACGAAGCATCGGGCTCGTGTAATACGAATTCAATGACTGTTTTGCTGACGAATATTTTGAGCGTGGCAGTTTCCATAAAAGAAGCATACTCTGGCGAAGGTTCCATCAGTAAGTAATCTCCCAATTCGGTGCAAAAACCAACCGTCGGTTTTTCTCCAACATCAAACCCAGTAGTCCACCACTCGACAATAGGCCCGAAATTTTTCCCCGGAATAGCAACGCCATCGGTTATTACAGGGTCTTCGCTGTAAATTGGTTTAACGTATCCAGAAAAATATATTTCTTTGTCCTTATCGATTAATCCAGAATCAAACGAACACAAATGACCGTTTTTACAGTAGACACTGAAACACGTAATTTTGTTGTACGCTCTCGTGTCCTCTTGAGAGTACTCATTATTTTCCTCGCCGTCAAACAGTACCAGACGATTATCCACAATGCTCATTGCCTCCGATTTACCATCCAATGGCCTCTTGTCGTAAAAAATAATGTCATCGAGCCTCTGCTGGCATATGCTGCATAATATTTCATCTTTGTCGTTTGTTTCGAAAGCAACGGTTGAACGCATCAGGGAATTTGTTGTCCCATGCAAGTTTTCATCATTACTGCGCGTAATCAACATATTGGCACTCTGGCCGTCTCTTTTATTCAAATCTAGAGAATTGTTTGTACTGTTAAAAACACTCTCGTTCAGTATAGGGACTTCAAAATCAATTGTAACATTCGTTTCTTGTTTTTCCGCCGTCACAAGGCTCTTGTTTGCGTTTCGTTTGGTCGAAACTTTTGAGGCCCTCCTGGGAGTTTTGGGAGTGGACGTTCGGGCCTTCGAAATAGCTTTCATCCTGTTTAACGACGGAGATCCATCGAAGGAATCTTGCTCGGCATTTTCATTTTTTACCTTTCGGCCAACAGCCTTTTTCGTCCTTTTCACCTTTTTTCTCGGACTATCGTCCTCATCCTTGACTTCAGGCATTACCTTCTCTTTCATCGGCCGGCCTCTCTTCTTCGGTTTTTCTTCATCCTTTTTAACTTTCTTAGTCTTCATTTCAACCGAACCTATATATATGTATATACGATAATGTAAAATTACTTATCACCCATTGAGCAACAAAATTTCAACATGTAAGTAGGTATACAACTCTCCCGGCGCATCGAGATTACACGTGTGCGTATACCTGTATATATAGTCCCGAGAGCGCGCTTAAGCAACGAAACACCGAAACTCGAAACCAAAATAAACCAAGAGGCAGATATGAAAAATTTTTACTTCTCCGAAAACCATTCGACAACGACTTGAAATAATTGTTCTCTCTCACGAATTTCACGGTTAATTGCGTCATCGACCGTAATTGCGACGGTTTGTAAAAGAATGCGTGTGTACTTACTTACTTTCGACAATGACAGATCACTCGAAGAGCTGACGATGTGTCTCTACTGATGGACCCCAACACCACCCGAGAAAACAACTGTCAAGCCAATAAAATATAAAAAAAGAAATGTAATATATTCAATGCACGTAGAACAAAAAAACACCGGCTTTGTCTCGTGCAGCAGGGTGCGTGCGTCAGACCGTCTCCGCTGAATATCAACACGACAATGCGTGCTCGACACGTACACACGTGACACGTTTGTACCGGTTTGGAACTAGAATTGTCCCTAGCACGGTTGCCAACTTAAACTCTCCCCCCACCCCCAGACAAAAAAGAACACACGCATTGGCAACACTGCGATTGCTCGGGTCAGTAAAAGCGCGGGATTTTCAAAACGTCGCACGACATGTTCCACAGCCCTGATGAAGCTGGCGCGCCCGGCGCCGCTGTCGCGCGTGGTAAGGACGATATGTCTGCCCGACGGGGCCGAGGACGATGGATCACGGCCGGGACTGCAGTGCGTGACTTCGGGATGGGGTCGCTCCGGGCCGTCGCCGTCGTTGTCCTCGGCGCTTCTCGAGGCCAACGTGCCCCTGCTCGAGCTCGCGGAGTGTCTCAAGGCCTACGGGAAATCGGTGCCCATACGCGACGGGCACCTCTGCGCTGGCAACACCGACGGCTCCTCCGGAAGCTGCGTCGTGAGTGTGCACACGGATTGTTGATTAATCTTAGACTCGCCCAGGTGTACTAAGAGTGGACATGTTTTTTTTTTTCAGGGTGACTCCGGGGGTCCCTTGCAGTGTAGGAGGCCCGATGGTGCTTGGCAGTTGGTCGGGGTCACGTCTTTCGGGTCTGGTTGCGCTCGGCCGGGCTTTCCCGACGTTTACACCAAGATACAGTACTACTCCTCTTGGATCAAGGACACGATCGCCGATGATCTCAACGAGGAACCGATTTAGTTGTGCCCCTTTTTTTTCGTTGGCATCGTTTCACTGGTGTAGAAAGTGATTTAGATTATTACAATTTTGTATTCTTGTAAATAAAAAAAGAGCTGTATATAAAAATGTTGACGATATCTGTATTTGTTTGTGTCGATGAAACAACGTCTGTTGGAAACAGAGAGAGGGTTCATTGACTCGTATTTTTATATTTTATTTATCGTGTTGCATTAAGATGTTAATTTTTCTTTGTACATTTATTTATCTTCATATGTTAATTGTAATTCCTTATAGTTTAGTAAGTATAATTAATAAGAATCATTTACAACGCGACCCATGAATTAGAAATATCCAATATTGTTATTTAGGTGCATATCCATATATGAATAAGTTAAATTAATCGAAAAGCCGATTGATTTTGTAAGGTAACTAATCAACTGTCGTAAATAATGTAGCAGAGCGTGTAGTTTAATTTTAATTGCAACTATACATTTTTTAATTAAATTTTTATTGAAAAATGCTCTCCACAGTATATAAAACGAGATGCATGTATTAAATTTTATGTAAATCTCTCGATATTTACAAATAAAAATTGTCAATTATCAATGTTAAATACATTACTTTATTCTCCTATTATTTAGATACATGATTACGTTATACACGAACTTCGTTTCAAATCCACTGAGTGAGTATATTATTAATTATGATCAGTTATATTTTTGTTTCAATTTTCCGATAAAATCCTTTGTACCGGTTACATTGAAAACTAACACAAGAAATTATTTATGTCACCCAATATAATGACAATTAAATCATCGTAATTTTATTATTAGCTTCCCCCCCCCCCGCTT